TTGTTTTCTGTATACGACCAATAAAAAAGCCAAAATATCATATGAAGATACAAATAACTACTTTAACTATTTAACTGTTATGTTAATTCGGATAAATTGATAACCGTTACAGAGCGAATGTCTGATACCGAATTTTAACATTATCTTAAGCGGATAACGAATGTTCAATTAAATATAATAAAATGCGGTAACACATTCAATAGCATAAACAAAATATATTTGAAACATTAAAAACTATATGGATTACCCATTTGTGTATGTGCATCAGTAGCAGTATTAACTAAAGTTAGGTAGGATACAGACATAGAACAGAACACAACTGTTCTGAAGGCAGTGTTAATTCGTTTTGTGAAAAATGTTTTTTGTTCTCAAAATTAATAATAAAAAAGACAAAAATTAACACGCACGGTGAATTGGAATTAATTAAAAATACCTTTGGAAATCTTAAATAAAATAATAATATTTGTGGACGGCTTTCCTCGTACTAACGAAGCACACCGTAATGATGATCCGATGAATGATTTTGATTTTATACAAAATCAAAAATAACACTGCTCTGCATGGGTTTTGCGAATAAAATGCGATATAGTGTTTTCGAAAGGTTTTTTCGTGCTGATCACGAATCCGGAGTCACGTGACACGCTCCCAGCCCTAACGGTGCATGCAAATTTTGGTATCGTTTTAAAGATCACAAATCAAGCTTCAATTTCAATATTACTAAATTTCGTAGCACGGATTCCGGATTCGTGATCAGCACGAAAAACCTTACAGAGAGACTATATCGCATCTTGTTCGCAGCTCAAAAGTTGAAATTTTTAGAGCAGTGTAATTGTTTTATGAAAATCGGGAAAAAAGAATTTCGCTGGCGTTTCCTCTCTGGAATTCAATGAATCAAATATGATATTCAAATGGGTAAAGTGGCCTTTTTGGCAAAAATGTGTACGAACAACATGTTCAATGTTTTCCTGTAAAAAACGTTCTGTGTGCCACTTGAATTTAATCAAATCCAAGAGATTGAACTAAAGAAGTTGTAAGTCAATATTTAAAAAGCTATAGGTAAATTTATTTGACAACAGTTTTTGACCTTATTGTTCCTATGGCAGCTACTTATAGATAGGTATCCGTTGTTTGACAAACAATTGATACTTTATTTAATTGACTAACAATTAATTTTCAGATGAATTTGTAAATAAGTAGCGCAAAGCAAATACTTATTTTCTACTTTTTAGAAATGTGCAGACTACTATCTTGGTTAACTGGTGCTTTAAACTGGTCCGCTTAATTTGAAAGTGAAAAACTAATTAAAAACTGGTTTCAAATTTAACGCCCAGATTTGTCTATAATTTAGTGGGTAAGTAATAAAGAATTCAGGCCGGCTCCGATAACGATAAAAAGAAATGATACTTATATATTTATGTGCTTATGTATAACACATTTGCATTATTTTGAAACAAGTTTTATGAAATGGGTAAAATTATGCTTTCAGACATAATACATAAAAATTAAGATTGAAATTGCTTTAATTTTTTTTTTACCTTGGCATATCTATTTTATCAAACATTTTTCGAAAACCAACAAAAAAAAAACTCATGACTAAGAAAAGGATTCTGCCTTCAGAAGACCAATTGGTAACTAAAACATTTCTGAGCTGCCGGGAAATTTGGTCTCGGTGTATAGCAATGATACTTACTTTTTAAGATGTATGGAATACGTCACTAAATGTGAGTCATTTGATATGAATTATAATAAGGGCTGTGAACCCAAATAATTTTTGCTGCGGTTCAGTTTAGGTACTAATCTAACTAAGCTCCACGTTCGTGATTTTCGGAATTTTTACATCCCAAACAGGCTTGCAGTACACTATTCTCAATAATGATAAGGCCCACTAAAAGGTTTCTGAACATCATTATACCCTTGCAGAGCAAAAGGGTGTTATAATTTCAGTCAGAAGTTTGCAACGCAGTGAAGGAGACACCTAAGACACCATAAAGTGTATATATTCTTGATCAGCACGATTATCTGAATCCAAATACTGTCAGTTTGTCCGTTTCTACGCAAGCTAGTCTTTCAGTTAGATACAGTTTTGAATCTTGCTGAAACTTTCCCAACTTTTCTCTTCGCTCTCTTCAAGTGAACGGTCGTGTTTTTTATGCGCTCCAAATTTTTCATTTTTATCTATACAAACCAGCGGTGGTTCTGTTTTACATTTGAATATATAAACATTTTAATACACTTGTTTTCAAAACCGTTCGCTTCGCGAGTGAATTTTGTGCGTTTTATCATAAAATAATAAACTTTAACGATCTGATTTTTGTCTTTTTGACTACTTTCTTTTGTGCTTCGTCCGTCAACAGTAGTGTTGTTGTTAGAAGTGCATGCATATTAACTGACCCGCTCTCCCGCTTTTCTCTTTTATACTAACATACTCGAAAGTTCTAAGCGTGCAATTTATACGCTCTTGCGGTACATTTGAGTTGTTCGCTTACAAATTTCGATTTGATTTTCTCTCGGCACAGTGGTCCGTAACATAATAAACATGGAGTCCTACAATGTCTGCTTAAAAAAAACCTGCCTTCAGGTTATAAAGCCTGAGCAGGCTAAACTCACTTGTTGGCTTTGTGACAGGATGGTGCACACTAAGTGCGCTGGATTCACAGGGCGGACAAGCGACGATCTGATTTTCAGTTCTGCTGTGAAGCTTGTCGCGAAGTTGCGAAGGAAATTAAGTCCTTCATGAGCCAAACTAAAGGCGGCCTTAAGGGACTGATCACTAGTTTTGGCATAGCTAGGGATAGTTTTGCCAAGGCTGATGATCTATTCTCAGCGCTGGACTCGCAGTTTAATAGCCTTAAGCTATTAGATGAGTCCCCGAAGCGCAAAAAGGCTGCTGGTGGTAGGCCTGAGGGAATCATCCCGCAACTCCAAAGCGACCAGCAGAACTCCTCTGCGGATGAGCAGTCGACTTTAGCCCCTCAAATGTTGTTAAGATCGGCAGCTAAAAAAGATTCGGACCCCGATCAATTCACAGTGGAGTGTATGAGACCAATGCCTATAAAAAGTTTTCGACCTGTAATTCCACCTAATCCGCTAAATATTCCCCGACAAGAGGTTTTTGAGACCGGACTACCGGACCAAATTGTCACTGCAGGGCAGCGTTGCCAGTTTTTTTTTTGCCAAGTCGGGACTTAGTAACTTTTTTAGTGAAAAAAGCGGGACTCTTACGTCGAAAGCTGGACATAATAAAAAACGTATATAACCAGAAGTTTTTAAAATATTTACTACTTCACTGCACTAAAACAAACGGTAATCGTTATTCTTTCGTTGATAATCGTACGTTTTCGTGAAACAGAAAATTATAAGCAAATGAAAATAAGGAAAGAGCGAAGAGAAAGAGAGGAAGTCGCAGTCGCACGCGCCTCTCTCACTCCTGAGCGCTTCATCAGCCCGCACGTTCGAATTATCATTAAAAAGCGGGACTGAACCTGTCCCTCGCGGGACATTTAATTTTAATTTAAAAATTGGGACGTCCCGCCAAAATCGGGACGTCTGGCAACGCTGCTGCAGGTCCACAGCCTGCAGTAGCAAAACCATTTGATGGCTCGTCTTACATCAAAGAAAAAATAAATGCCGATAAAGTGAAGGTGGAAAAATTTAACTTTTCCCAAGTGTTGAGTGTTCCTGACGAACTTTTTAACACCATATGCTCGAGCGATTTTTGGCCGGCTAAAATGGTGGTGAAGGAGTTCGTAGCAAAAATATAAAAGAAAGGCCCTAGGGGAATTAAACTCCCCGGCCGGGACCAACAAACTGCGTCTTCCTTAGCTCCTTACCCAAAAAACTAACCACTAACTTCCTAATTAGCTATCAGAATACAAGAGGCTTGCGTAGCAAGCTAACCAAATTGTATACTGATAGCTTTTCGTTTGCATCCCAAGTTATTGTTTTCACAGAAACCGGGTTAAAGCCGGAGATCTTTAGCTCCGAAGTTTTTCCCGGTAAGTACACAATATATAGGCATGACCTCCCTCTAGACGGGGAGGGGGCATCCTTATTGCAGTGGACGCTAACATCACGTCAGAAGAGGTTTTGACAGAAGATCCTTTGAACTTTGAGTTAGAATTTTTATGTGTAAAACTGTCTGTCGCTGGCAGGTTAATTTTTATTACCTGCTCTTACATACCTCCTTCGTCCGATCTTGAGGACTATTTTAGGCACCTATCAGCTGTAAAGTCAATTTCGAGTTCTTTGTCCGATATGGATTTAGTTCTAGGTGATTTTAATATACCTGGAACTTCGTGCTTTACAACCCATAGGGCACAATGAATTCATTGACGGTCTACTTGACATACCTCTGTGTCAGGTAAACCATGTTCGAAATTCATTCATTTACTTGATTTGTGCCTTGTCTCAAATCCTGAAAATGTTTTTCTTTCTAGAGCAACACCACTTACGCTGCCTGAAGATCCCTATCACCCTACTTTCGAGATGACTATCGACACTGGTATAACAGTTAAAAATAATGCTATAAAGGCAGCCAAGCGAACTCATTGTTTTCGCAGGGCTAACTTTCTGAGACTTAGTCAACTTATATCTGGCAATGACTGGTCCGATTTCTACTCCTGCCATAATATGGAAGAAGCCATTACAATTTTTTATTCGGCAATCAAATCGTTTTTTAGCTCGTGTGTTCCGCTATATATCCCATCAACATCAAATAAACCACTTTGGTTTCGCAAGGCGTTGTTTTTCATCAGACAAGCATGATTTTCAAAATATGGAGTTTTATAAAAACCCTTGAATCAAGAAAAAAATTACATTAAAATCCGACAACGTTGTCATATAGCTGCCATAGGAAAGATGGAACAATCTTTATAGAAATAACGGAATTAAAATATAACATCGTTGTTTTTAATCAGACAAGCATGATTTTTGGAATATAAAGTTTAGTATCTACTCTTGAATTACAAATTGAATTGCATCAAAATTGGACGACTATATCATAAAGCTGCCATATGAACAATAGTCGAAAAAATGAAAAATGAAGAAAAATCGTTATAGCTTTGATGTTGTTTAGTCTTTATGCATTCGGTTCGTCATATTTGATGAATGCAAGGGTATACAAGCTTTGGCGAAGCAAGCTTCATTTCTTGTCTTATTAAAATTTAAGAATGACATTATAAAGAATGCTTTTTATTCATGTTGTTATTCATTGGTCTCAGAGGCTTACTGTTCAATGAGTAAAGTTCAAAAGCTAACAAAAGCAAAATGCGTTAAATGAAAGCTACCTGAATAAAACATTCAATCTTTTTCTATTGCTTTTGAAATATATGCCGGATTCAGATAGAGCAGATGGTAATTGCTATAAAAGAGCTGCCATAAGAAAAATAAATAGAAATCATTTTAAAAAAAATATTTTATTTTCTGTTACACGCAATCCAAATTTTAAAATTTGATTTAAATTTATTTTCATCGAATGACGATGTCATATAACTTTTAAAAAAATAATTGAAACGATTGCTTAAATTCAAATGCTGTCATATAGGCATCGAGAAAAAAATATATGTATATGTATGTAAATGTAAGATGTGATTTTGCAATTTGAAGGGCATATTGTATGAGCTGTGGCATTTTCAAACTACATATATATGTGTCATTCTTGTCTTAAAGTGGTTTAACTTCCATTTTAATGAGTAGCAATAAATTTCGTGCATAAAAAATAAGCCAAATGTTTCATAAAATAACAAAAAGAAGGATTACTTTAACTTTTTCTTTAAAATCTGCCAATATAATAATGTTATTGGGGAGGTCGGCAACGTCCCGCAGAAGTTCCAGAAAAGTCCAAGTCCTTTTGCTCGATAATCGGTATACGGTCGTCATACAGTGTCGGGGCCTGTAAAATGATTCCTGCTGTTCCGACAACCACGGCCAATGTGAATATCCACAAAAAAAGTCTATCTAATACCATTGCGACGTATTTCCAATCTTCTTTAACCTTAAATAAAAAAAAAAGTTTAAAGACAGTGATATACAGTTACATTTTCTCTATGTGAATATTTATATTAGTTCGACCATTTTTAATTGAGTTAAGTTTCACTCGCACTCATTTGGCATAAATTGGGGTGGGGTTGGGAGTCTGGTGTGGGTAAATTTGCAGTAACTAAAAGAAAGTGCTTAGGGATCATCGGATCTTCGGAGGGTCGTCTAGAACAATATGGGTTGGCGGAGGAGTATTTACCATATTCTTAGCATGGTACGTTAGACATAACATAACATTTCCTCCTTCAGAGTCATGGTCCACAAGTCGTGTCTAGTTATTAATTATTATTATTAACGCTTCTTACTAATCGTCCCGCAGTTAAGAGGGTAACTGAACAGTATGACAGCTTCATATTACAAATCTGAGTTCTCGCTAATGGTAAAATTACTATTTATTTAGGTTTTCCACGGCACATCATAAAGTTACGCCGAACTCTAATGCAGGATGCTCTGGCAAACTCCAGGTCGTGAGTTTATGATTATGACTATTATTTGGCAAGTCTTACAACCTCTAGTAACCTCTATGTTACCTTAGGACAGCATGGGTTCTTCCTTGACTGCAAGGGCGTTGTTAATACAAACACTCCTTTTTGACAAAGCTTCCACGATTCACAGAACTTGATGGTCATTTTCCTCCTTGTCGCCGAATCACAACTCGAGGTCAAATATTTCGTTAAGGGTGCCCTGCTACGTTATTACATCTATTTCTACCGTGATCCCTATACGTTCATCACCATACGAGAAGCAGCGCACATAATGGTTTCGAAAATTGGCATCGACAGCTCCCGGAGAAACTAACTAGTGGTTTGGCGAGCGTCAAGCACAGAATTTGTAATGTAGTCCTCCACCTACTTTTTCAATCGATCGTCCTAGCATATAATGAGGGGATTCACCCCGTTTCTTTTATCGGACATTTCTGACCACTTTCCAAACAATATTCCACCCAACTTGTTTCTGGGTACAGTTGGTCGACCATCCCGTCGATCTAATCTTCTTCTTTATTTTCGCGTTAGACTGGGTTCTCTACGGCTTGCCTGACGGCATATCCACTTACTTCCGTTAATATAGAGGCATTCAGCAGACATAAACAGAATTCTCGGATTGGTGATGTGGACTGTTTGTTTCGAGGTCTTGTCCCAAGAGAGATATTGTTCCTTCATTTTAAATTCAAATAACTTATTTATTTTTTGCTTAAGAATATTTGGAAACTCTCGCGACAGATCAATAGAATCGAATATTCTCACATTTAAGGTCTCTGTACATGGCTTGTAACTGACCAAAAACTGACTAGTTATGTACCAGAGAGCTGCAACGATCAAAATTTTTTCGATCATACTCGATCATTTTCTTGGAATTTTTTAGTGATTGAAAACAATGGTTCAACAAAAATGTATGATCGTAAGCGATCGTGCTCAAAGCGAACATTCAGTTCCAATCACTCAGGCTCGGTTCCGAATGATTTTGTTCGATCGAACCGTTTTTGTGTGAGTATTCGAGAATGTTGCTTACATTCAGTTCGAGTACAATCATACCAACTGGTCATGCTGGGTGGTGATTCGATTCAAGCTATCGAACTATTTATTTTGTGCACTTGCTAAGAATTTGTGTTTGATCTCTAAAATCTCTATAATAATTATGGAAATGGTTTGATAAGCCAATCTATTGTTTTTAATTATTGTTTTTAAAGCGATTAAGATTGATATTTTTTTTTTTATTTTTAAGTTTTTTTTTTATCTTAGTGAAGTTTGCGCTCTTTAATATTTGAAGCATTAATTTTGTAGATTAATTTAAGTATTAATTTTATTTTAATTTTGGGCGTTAATAATGAAGAAATAAATGAAGTTTTGTACTTTGGTTAAATTAATGCATCGCAACTTGTTTCCTTTAAAATAAACATATTTAGGTACATAAAAACTATGCACACATTTTCGATCTGATTCGTTCACTCACATTCAATTCAAGTGCAACTTGATCGAAGTGTGAGCGGTTCGTGCTTCGTTGTACTTGATCGTCTTTTTCGGTACGATCATTTTCGATCATCATACCGAAACCTACAAATCAGTTTGAATCAGTAATCAGAACACTCAAGTGATTGGTTCAAACTCGTTTGTTTTGTGCACGATACTCGATCGTACCACTTCGTAGCGAAGCGCTGTGTTGAGTTGTGATCGGTTTGAGCAAGTTTGATCGAACATGAACGATCATACTCGATGCAGTTCTCTGTTATGTACCAAAAAGCTTTGGGAGGTAAGTGTCACACCAATTTACCAATTGTTGTACGAAAATACTTTATGATGAACAAAACATGTCCTTTTTATTGTGTGATAAATAAGACAACGTACCAAAAAATTTTCTTAAGGAGTAAGTAAACTATGTTTTTGATTAATTAGTAAAGCTCAATAAAGGTTTTACTCACTTTTGTAGAATCCTCTTGCATTTTTGTGTGCTCCGCTATAAACCGCACACAAAAACAACTTTTGTGGATCTTAGGGAGACATTTTGAATGAGAAAATGCTGGATTGTTTAGTATAGGACTTTTTATTCCTAGGGACGCGATATCCATGTCGGGGACAGCTGCTATTTCATCAGAGCTACAATGAGTAAGGGGAGGCACGGATCCATGAACTTGACAGCTTCCTCCAAAAGGCCCATTGGCAGTTAAGCTATAAATTATTAAATGACTTTGATAAATTTTTTTTATTAAAACAGAATCATGTGTTTTTTTTAACGAAAACAAATGAATTAATTCTGATATTTGAATTGATTTGATATAAATAAAATAAAACTCGCAACGGAGAAATTGTCGAAACTACTCTCGGTTCTCGCTTTGAGCGAGTCGTACAAAGACTCACTGCCATGTTGCGCTACGGTTTTGGGGCAGCCAGATCAAGGTAATGTTCACGTACCAAGGAAACTTAATAAATCCTAAGCCATAAACCGTGTGGATTTCTGGCCAATATTTCAGTGTGTGTGCGCGAAGATGACGGCAGCTTATCAATGTACTGCATTCGAAAACAAGCAGGTGTTAGTAAAGGACTTGAAGGGTGAAGCTTGTGCGGCAGTGAAATCGCTACTTATTCACCCGAACATTGTGCACAAAGCGCGGTTCTGCAAGAAAGCAACCTCAATACGATGGAAGCGGTAGTCTTAGACGGTCACTGTTGGCAGGTGGTATCCACAAGGGTTTGCTTTAGAGCGGCTACAGAAGAGAATTAGACGAAGTCTACTGCTGGGGTAAGAAGCTAACCCGGCCTGTGGGTCCAACAGTGAATAATTTTTTTCCGTGGCATCTACGGATACAGGGCGCATGGAGAATAAGAGTCATCAGTTAAGTGCCGCCAGGGAGACGCCGCAAATTTTGCGTCAAGGTGAATGAGGAGCCGTTTCGGTAGGACAGAAGCAGTACAACATAAACATAAATAGAGCAAATGTTTATTGAGACCGGAAATATTGTTTCTTCTTTGGAGGGTCCGATTTTTCTTGGAAATCTAAAAAGCATGGAGTTTTTGCACTTAGCGGTACCGAGGCCGAATATATTGCCATGTCCACGGCATCCAAGGAAGCAGAATATCTACGTCGACTGTTAGAAGAGGCTTACATTCATCGACCGGAGGATCCTGTCCAATTCAACGAGAACATCCTAATCGCACAACAAATTGAACCCAGTTTATAATAAATGAATGAACCACATTCAGATAAAGTATCACCATATCATATATATCGTCGCTAATAACGAAATTATTACAAAATATGTTTATACGAAATAATTGTTGCCGATTCTTTTTATGCTCTTCTCAATAAACCTCCATGGTAACCGCAGCATAGTGCGATTTTACTGCGAATATCTTCTATGCATCAACGATATGGTAAAACTCTAAGCACTCCATCCAACATTAACGATAAATACATTTACCTTTTCAGCTGCGAGTATTAGCCCTTGAGTTTGTTTAAAGAAACACCAATGCCCACAGAACAACGTGTTTCGGTCATAAAAGAGTCTTCTGTTTGTTTACAAGTGTACTTTTGTCGAGTTGGTTATTTCAATACTCTCGGCTATGTCAAAATGGAATTTAATTTTTGTATATCCTGTGAGGAGTCTTAAAACTCCTCACAAATGCAGGTGCTGGGGAAACTCCGCATAGCAACAACGAAAGGAGCTGCTTGCGGAAGAGCGTTTAGAAAAAGGGAAATACCGGTACCGCTCTGGCCCTTGGACTCCAGTCGGCGAGGGCATCGGGGTCGAACGGTGACTCCGCGGACTTCTGACCCGCGCAAAGAGGAGACACCGTGAATTAATAGTACCTTGATGCACTTTGGACCCGATCACGTAAGCCGACTGGGGAGTACCTATAACGGGACAAGCGCAACGCGTGGGAGTTAGGTCAGGTCGAAGACCCACGCCAAGAAGTCAGTCAAGTGAAAGTCGTGCAATTGATGTTTATAACGCGAGTGGAAACCCAGTGAAAACCAAGTGCCAGTGTCATCCGGATCGCCGAGTAAAGAAGCCCAACGACGGTCAGGTCAACATAAGCTGAGACAGCTAAGATGAGATCCAAAGGGTGCAAGGTAAGGTGTAGGGCGCGTCTACGAGTCTGAGGAACGATAAAGTTGGTGGAATGTTTTTTATGAAAAAAACAAAAGTCATTAGAAAACTCTATAGGGTAAGATGGGGTAAAACCGCCAAAAATGTATATTTGACGATGTCAAGCTATCATTTATAAAATGATCAATGAACCAACCCATATTTCTGAAAGTTTAATCCCTTGGCTACATAATTCATTTAGAAAGTTTTTATGTATTATAGCTTTCATTTTAAAACAATTGTGATCGTTCAGAAGAAAAGTTTAAAACTATATCCATTGAAATGTTGCAAAAACTTTTTATTTAACAATTTCAACAGTCAATTTCACAATTATTAAGTGCCTAGTGAATTTCCAAAGTGTCCGCTTCAATATTATAGAAAAGTAAAATATTATAGAGTTTAAAAAATTAAATCTTCTGATCAATACCTCTTCGCGGCGTTTTAACCCCACGCGCCAATTTTTTGTCGAGGTTACTTAGTTTGTAAAATTTTGGAAATATTGGCTAACTTGATACATGTACATCAGTATCAAGGTTCGTACTACAGTTCGTTTCATTTGGATAGGACACCTAGCAACTTTTATGGTTAAACGAATTGGCGCTCAGTAAGCTATTTTGAAAGGCTCCTGTTAAGCTTTATTTTAATATTTGTTAATGTTTGGATTATATTTTTCGATGAAAAAACTTAATTTTAATATTTTTTAATGTTTGGATTATATTTGAATTCCGGGCCATCCAAATATAATCCAAACATTAAAAAAATATTAAAATAAAGCTTAGCAGGAGCCTTTAAAAATAACATACTTAGCGCCAATTCGTTTCAAAATTTTCTTTTCCAAATTGTGCCGCGCCTTACGATGGATCCCTGTGATTCTTGGAGAACTGGCCATTTTTGATGGCACCAAGTATTAGCAAGTGTGTAAAGTCCGCCAAATGGTGTTTTAGACACCTTGTTGGCCTCATAATGAGCCAAACCGGCGCAGGACATGGGGAAATTGGGGCCTTTTTCACTAGAAGCCGCTTATCTCGAACGTTTAACTTTGTTTTTTGGAGCCCTTTATAATTTTTTTTGATAGTTTTCATTATCTGTTAATCAATTGTATACAACATTTCGCGATTTTTTTTATTTTCGTGGCGAATTGGCTTACATTACGGCCTGAGTCCAAATATGCATCAATTTTCCCCCATAATTTTCCCATCTTTATCCTGGAGTGCCGATCCAAGGCCTATTTTAGTTTCATTTGATCAATAATAGCATCGGATTGAAAAAAAAACGTTTTAAACAAACTGCGCACTGTACACAAGTGATTACTGACAAGTGTCCTATCCAAATGAAACGATTTTCAGCATGCAAAAAACCATGCAGCAGTGCAAAAACTCAAATAAAAAAGTGTTGAAAGCAATAATGAAAAAATGTAACTGCATTTTAGAATCACAATAGAACAGAGATAATAACTTAAAAAAAAATTTTAGCTTTTAACGATTTTTGTCTTCGCTACGAGCGATTAACCATAAAAGTTGCTTGGTGTCCTATCCAAATGAAACGAACTGTATAAGCGGTCACTTACCTCTTTTTTTCCAGGCCGTACTTTTACACTTGAGTGTAACAAAAATGGCGCAATAGAAATTGTCACGATAAAGCTGCAGTATTCCGACCGACTTCAAAAACCGCGCATTATCAATCAGAATCTACATTATCAACGGTTAATCGTTTCGGCGCTTTATTTGAATTTGAAATCCAAATGGCGGTTTTACCCACCGGCGGTTTTACCCCATCTTACCCTATTATAAAAATCATGCATTTATTCTCGTTATTTCTGTATATATTTTCGATCTTTCCAATGGCAGCTAAATGATAAAGTAATCCGATAAAATTTGATAAAATCAAGTCGATATGCCTAAAAGCAACGGCGTGATAGTCTTTTCCCGCTATTTTTTCAATCTCTCCTATGGGAGTTAACCGATATAGTCGATATAGATCGTAATGCTGTTCAAGAATTCTTTGTGGGGTCTGAGGTGTCTCCTTCACTGCTTTGCAAACCTCTGACTAAAATTATATAATAGTGTAGTAAAGTAATTAACTAACTGATAACATAACTATTGTATATAACAACTTATTCCCTATTTAGTCGTTTAGTCCTTTTCTATAATTCAATCTGCGCACATGTGCTTGTTTTAATAGGTTATGGGCCTATGCCTCGCAATTGAACTAAGTGTCGTCAGCAATAAATTATTCTTTATTATTGCTTACTGGTTTGCCAATGAGGATCAGGCTTTGGTCATGGCAGTGGAAAAAGGTAAAAAGGGTATGTATAATAAGTGTGCCCGGGCAAAATGAGCGATCAAGAGGATCGCTTGTAGCAAACACACATACAAAAGCGTACAAGTCTGAGAATGTGGCGTGCATTGATTCTGGCGCTTCTTCACACATGACAAATAATCGACACTGGCTGACATTTGAAAGTACATATTGTAAAAGACAAACAGACAAGAAATCGATTTTCTATTTAGAGTGACCCAAAAGAAGATAATACCGCTCTAAAACCTTAGACCAAGCAACTAAGGCCACCGCCAATTTTTGTACGTCAGGCAAATTGTTCTGAATTGGTAAAAAAATAACTGATCAAATTGGAGCAAACGATTTCTATGTTAAATCCTTAAAATGGAGTAACATAAATGAAACAAAAATACAAGTGAACAACGAACAAGACTATCGATCTGTTGTCAAACACCTTGACAACAGAAAAATAACCCTGCAGTTCCAAAACTGCTTTGTCGTCGATGAAATGTGCGAAGCCGCACCGACGACAGCGGGGGTAGGAACCGTTGCTGCAACGACGCCATTTCATAGAGACATTTTATATGGCATTGCCGTTTTCGGTATAAATGTGTTCTAAGAGTGAGCAAGAGAGGGAAACTTAGGAATATCCCTTTTCCTTTCCTACACACATGATTGGTAATTGCCACAATTCACTTGTGAACAGCCAGAACTGCAGGGAAGTTACTACATCTACCAACTTAAAAGTATCGAAGCAACAGTCCCTGTATATGACTTAAAGAAAAGGGCTTTAATGTCAAACAG